GGTTTATAAAAGGTTGGTTTATAATGATACAAACAAGAGTATGGGATCGTTTACTGTAACAGTTGTGCCTGGATATGTACATTATAATACAACAATTGAAATGCGTATTGTACAAGTAACATTATGAATAAAAGAGAGGAGGACCCGGGAGGAGGAGATAGTAGTGGTAGTTGTAGTGCTGAGGATAGTGGTTGTTGTTGTTGCTGTAATACTAGTAGTGGTGGTAGGTGTTGTTGCTGTATTAGTTGTGATGGTAGTAGTTGTTGTTGTTGTTGTTACTGCATTATTAGTGATGGTGGTAGTAGTTGTTGTTGTTGTTGTTGCTGTATTAAGTGGTGATGGAGGTAGAAGAAGTTGTTGTTGTTGTTGTTGTTGTTGTTGCTGTATTGGTAATGATAGTCGTAGATGTTGTTACTGTACTAGTAGTGGTAGTTGTTGTTGTTGTTACTGTGTTAGTAATGATGGTAGTAGTTGTTATCGTAGTGGTGGCGGTAGTAGTAGTGGTGGCGGTAGTAGTAGTGGTAGGGGTAGTAGTAGTAGTAGTGGTGGTAGTAGTAGTAGTGGTGGTGGTGGTGGTAGTAGTAGTGGTGGCGGTAGTAGTAATAGTGGTATGTGGTGGTAGTAGTGGTGGCGGTAGTAGTAGTGGCGGTGGTAATAGTAGTGGTGGTGGTGGTGGTGGTGGTGGTAGTAGTAGTAGTAATGGTGGCGAGTAGTAGTACTAACTGTGATAACCTGCGACATTTGTGATAGTAATAGTTTTTATAGTAGTTGCAACAGTTGTAGTATAAATATGATCGTACAAGAGACGTAGTAGTAATGCACAAAACAGCGGCTACTACTGAGGGTTCTCGTCCTCCTGGGTCCGTTCTAAGTGAAGAATGGAAGGAAGGTACTGAGTCTGACCCTTCAGGAGAATGCTGCCTGTAGAGGGTTGGCCTCACTCAGGCATCATGGCGGTGTTCACAAAAACTTTCTTCTCTTTTAATGAGAGCTAAGAGTGACTTAACCAACCTCTCACACACACGAAAAAAAATGCATTAGCTCACAAGGAATCCCCATGTTCAGCTTAGGATGACTGTGGACCTCACAAGGGTCCTCCCATAAGTTTATTTTCATCAGGATCCTACACAGCTCACAGGGACCTAACGGAACTCACAGAGCTCACAAGGACCGTTAAAAAAAAGATCTCACAAAGACCGCATAGAGCTCACTACCAGGAATAAATTTTGTTGAGGCTCTCCTGAGGGAAAAAAAAAAGCTTTTGTGATGTTCCGCGACAGTGAACTAATTTATAAACGAAAAGACAGAAAACTCCAATGGATTTTTGTTATTCGTTTCAAGTTCCTATTACGAGGGAAAAATTATGTAGACTTTTCATTGGTGACGAAATTTAATGAATAGTTATTTTACATATTATCGACAGTTTTGTAAATCTGATTAAAAAATAAATAAAAATCAGAAAAAAACCAGCAGCTCCTGAAAGGTTCACGGGCACTTAGAGTAGCAACCAACCATTATAAGGCAGAGAGGAAGTGTCCACGCGACTAGGTTTTTTTGCTTATAATTATGATACACACGCACTCCGACAGGACACAGGCAAATGAAAAAAAAAGGGAAGTCACGACCCACTCCACCCCGAGGATTGAGAGAGAGTGTGAGGGGGGGGGGCTGGGAAGAAGTTCGGATTCATTATCTCGAAACTTGTGTTCATTTTATCGAAAACTTTAGTTGTTTGAATTCTGGATTCTTTCTCAAATGTTGGATTCAGTGTTTTCGAAAGCTGGGTTTACTTTGACATATGAAATAATTTTTGAAAGATGGGGGGGAGGGGGGAGGTTATTTTTTCTACACTTCATTCTTATAGGTTTAGTCTTCAAAATGATATGATATACCTTGACTGTTGGGTTATTATCTCGAGAAAAGGTTCGGCTCTGTTTTCAGAGACTGTTCTCTCAGACAAAACCTTAGAAAAAATTCCAAGACAACCGGGACAGTGTCAAGGAAGAGCCACAACCTCCCTGGACGAGGTTGTTATATATATATATATATATATATATATATATATATATATATATATATATATATATATATATATATATATATATATATATATATATATACAATTAATTCTTTAACCTAAATTATATAGTGTAGTTTTTCCTCCAGGTGGTCCAGTGGTTCATCATTGCAATGTATCATGACTCAAAGACAACAAGGACAATGATCCATTTATGTTGTTATATATATATATATATATATATATATATATAGTTTAAGAGCTGACGAGTGATGTCAGAACATGCACGCACGCAAACAGACTGCTGATGACTGGGGAAGAACAGTGAGTCCGACAGCAGGAAAAGACCAACACGCACATGAGGTTATTTCACTCATTCACCCGCTTCCACGACGAGACGAGAGAAGGCGAAGTTGAACACATATTTGGGATTAATAAGTTTCTAGTATCGTGTAAATGTGTTATTGTGTGTGGGTGGGTGGGTGGGTGGGGGGGGGGAATGGGTCGCTGCTCCGAGTAGAATACAAGAACCCATCACTCAGGGTTCAGTTCACAACAGTCAGGATCGCAGCTTAATCGATATGTTCTCAGTCCATACGTCAAGGCGATTTCTGGTAACTCCGGCGAACACAAGTTGCACGAACAATAAAATGTGATTCCTCCGTCTGGACGAACGCAGGATTCACAACGTGTATGGTTGGGTCGGGAGAGAGAGAGAGAGAGAGGAAACAGAGGGCCGAGGAAAAGGGGGAGGAAGGACAGACAGAGAAGAGGAGCAGCAAAGTGTGAAGGGAAAAGTAAGGGACGATGGATTGGAGAAGGATATAGGGAGGACAAACTTGTGTACTCTTACCACAAGAATATAATTATTTTTTAAAGTGATCTCTTATAATACCTCGAGGAATAGTTATCATTAATTAACAAAAACAACAATACCCTGGTTCATGGCGGTGCCACCCATGTCAGGGAGCTATATAGAAAAAACTTTGGACCTGCTACTTAAGGTTCATATTAAGTTTTAATCAAATCACAGTTGCTAGAACCACATGGATGTGTGTGAGGTCTGACACCTGGGTCAGACGAGAAGGGAAGTCATCATGCAACACAACAAGGCCAAGCGACGAGGCCAGGACAGATCAACACCACGCTCACGGTCAACACGGTAAATTTTTACAGATTTTTGAGAAGGTCTAAATTACTGGGAGAAAAGGGACGTCGGATTTTTTTTTTTTAGATTTCACAAACTTCATAAGGATCTAGTTGGGGGGGGGGGTGATGAACGTTTGACATTTTGAATTTGACAAAACTCGACTTTTGAGGATCTAAGTGTCATACGCTAGGGAAGGAGGTGTGATAACATTTTTTTTTTAACTGGACAATTTTTTTGGAGGGTACAAGTACAGTTACTTGCTAGTTAGTGGTGTATTTACCATATGACAAAAGTTTATAAGATCTAGATATAAGAGGCTATGGGAGACGAGATGTGTTTAATATCTGGCATTAGACAAACTTTGTTAGGGCTGAGGTGTGTTAGCTTGGCTGGGGAGGCGAGTACGATATTTTAAATATTATACATTAAAAAATAACTGAGGAAGGAAATGCCACATGTTTTTAATGAAACAAGTTAGGACGAAGGTGTTACTTATTGTAGTAAGGAGGAGGGATGTGTGTGACGTAAGCAGCGCTGGAGTAGGGGGCAACCAATCGTAAACAACACCGGAGGCGAAAAGAACCAATCATAAGTAGCACTTAGGCAGGACGGAACAAATTATAATTATGCTTAAATAGGAAAAAAAATAATCGTAAATAACTCTTATGGAGGAGGAAGAGATAAGTGACTGGCTCTCGTGGCCAGTGAGGAACACTTGGGCTGGACAACATTTCGCAGCAGAGTCGACCAAACTTATTAGCTTCGCCAAGGCTAGCACCAGGGTGAAGAGGAGTCAAGAAGGTGTTGTGGTGGAGTGAGCGTCACGCAGAGGAGGATATGGTCATTCTACAGTATCCAGACGATGAAATAAACACAAGAAAAGATTCAAGTTAGTTAATGTATAAGTCTCCAGACCTTTTGTGTACAGTGGCCACTTGTGGATTGATATGAGGGGGCACGGTGGTAACAGTGGGTGACTCTTTATGATATAACTTACTATTTCTGTTGAGTCCTCGTAGCTAAGAGGAACTGATGTAAAACCCGATCACACAGAGGAATCTTAATGACCAACTTCCTCTCTTGGGTTCTGGTGCGTCTAGCGGGCACTTGTGGATTAGCTTCATAGGGAACTATTTTAATTAACTTCGGGTCGTCCTAAGTCATACAAGGATGGCTGGAGAGGGAAGCTACAGGAACGGTAATTCTTAATATTAGTGAAAGTGGACTGTGTCTTTGCGTCAGGGAGCCAGAAGTTGACATCAACTCACGTGGTAGAGCTGGTGGAGGTCATTCCATTTCCTCTAAATGAAGGGAGCACCTGAGCTGTGGTAATGGCTCTTGTATTTTGGTTTAGGTGTTTCAGCGACGAGGATTATTTGTACCATTTGTGTATTAGTCGTGGCTGAAGGACTTCATTAAGTGACTTAAGAGCTGATGACACATTTGATTCCTAAAGGTAAAATCAGTTTTAGATAATCACTCCGACTCTACCTTCAGACTTGCCTAAATATTTGCCTAAATATACATGAAAAATTTTAGGAGTACCAATTGTTCCTTATGTTTTATACTGTGGATAATGTTTTAAATTGTCCTATTTTTTTACATTAAAAATTTACCTCCTAGTTACTATGAATAATGTGTCAGAACTATTCCCTTTTTTTTTACGTTTATTTATTTACCCTCTCCTAGTAAACGATTGAGAGTTAGTAAATTGGACTTGAACGGTAAGTAGCATGGGAGTCGAACCAGAGCAACAGGAAATTGTTACAAGGTAAAAACTGTTGCAGGGAAGGAGTTACGGCTGGGGGGGGGGGGATAACGGGGGAAGGGGGTTACGGCGGGGGAGGAGTTACGGCGGGCAGGGGGGGGGGTAGTTACGGCGAGGGAGAGGCCCTGTATTGACAAGCGTGACTCTGTAGACAAACTGTATCAGTAAAGATAATTACGTCAAGGAGACCATGTGTTATGTTATGGTTAAGACACTGTTGATGACAAACCTTCCTCAACCATGACAACAAATATCCTCCACTATTTCCCTCCATGCGACTTCACAATTCTTAACTGTATATGTGGCGCGAAACGGAAAATTAAATGTTATGAAGCTCATATCTGGGGGAAGGATCTGATTCTGCCAAATTCTGATTGGCTGGCAATAAAAGATTCGGAGAAAGTTTCGAAGCAGTGTCGTTTCAGAGGGACCTGACGAAGCAGCTTAGGAGCCCAGTGACAGTTAACACCACACAGAAAAAAAAGTTCGGAAGAGTTGTTTCTTATCCTCGATACTCCGAAACAAAGTCGTGAGAGAAGGGGCAGATAAGATCAAGAGGTAGAATTTGTAGCAAATGGTAAATTAAAAGAATTCCATGGACGAAATGAGGAGTTAATGGCGTAAAGGATGTAAGGGAGAGGAAAGAAATGCTTCAGAGTCTTTGGTAGTGGACACTGTGGTGACATGATGTGTTTGAGTGGAGGTTCACCATGACTCCGTCTCGCTGGCTGGCTGGCGACTGACTGACTAGACATAAACAACATGCTCACTATATATGGGACGCCAGGAGGGATCCGCAAGCCACGGAACAGTTTCATACATTGAGACATTTTCCATTAGATACAGTGTCACAGGTTCCTCAACAATCCCTCTTTACGACATCATCAGCCAATACTGTTTTTTTTTTACGAATCTTGTGTAAACCATAGAACAAGAAATTACTTATATAAACCTTGAGCTTAAACAGCGAGACTCGACTGCGCATGCGTAAAGCTCTGTCAGAGAGGGAGAGGATCATTCCGTGGGTCATAGAGTTGAAAGTGAAGGGACTGCCCTCGGATTATTGCCAGATATCTATTGGGCAGCCCTTTGAGATTTAACAGTAAGACCCCATGAGTCAGGAGCGAGCAGTACAAACATTGGTCATGGTACACTGTACAGATGCAACGCCATCGAGGGGGATATAAAATAGCGAATCATAGGATACTGTCGTGACGATACAAAACGAGGGATAAGTTTGTCTAGCATAAACTGGGGATATAGATGTTTAAGAGGGTTACTTTTTTCGGCACTTTGAAAATGGACATGTTCCCTGTCCTTGGGTATCCTGGGGCGGCGGCTACCACCGACATTCAAGAAATACCACGAACAGTAAAAAATGCAATTGTTCACATCGCACAGTAAAAGTTAGCAGACTACACGCTGCTGGCTCTCATAGCCCAAACTTCTTAAAGAGGAAATCCTTTCCTTTAGACATCACATCAGTTACGGGATTCTGCGTGGCTAAGTCGCCTAGTTTACCCATGAGGTTTCCTTCACCCATTGGGTTTGGTAGCCCGGAAAGTCCTGCCCCCAAGCCACCAGGCAGCGCCCCAGCCAGGCCGCCAGGCTTCTCCTCCTTGGCTTCTCCTTCCTTGTTGGCCCCGGGGGCAGGTTCCGCAGGCTTAGTGATGGTAGTTGTATCTTCATCGAGGGGATCATTCAGGTCGAAGTCTTCCATCAGTTGGTCCAGATCCGCCGAGGAAATGGCGGGTCCATTGTCGACTTCTTCATCAAGAAGGTCGAGGCCGTTGAGCTTGGCCCTGGAGGCGGCTAAGCTTCCTGCAGTAGCTGCTGACGAGGTCGTGTTAGTGTGCGTGGATCCTGCCGTCGTCGCCGACGACTTGGTGACTCCTCTTTCCCGGGACACAGACCTACCACCTCTCTCCGCTGCGCTGCTGGTGGTACCGAGGTCTTGGTGGTGGTCCCCCAGGGCCCCCTGGGCCCCCTTCATATCCTGGGGAAAAAGCAGAGAGGAATGAGTTTCACGTAAGTTAAGGGGGGCGGGTTGAATTTATTAATATACTTCAGATAGCACTAGACAACTGCCAGCGTGTGTTTCTCTAAGCTACTTGGGAAGGTGTGCGAGATAAACATGCGCCAAACTGCTTGCGCCGCTGCTCTTCTGCGCAGTCGTGAGAAGTTGGCACTCCAACAGGGATCTATATATACAATTAAAAACCACTTTGGTTTTTCACATAATTTAGAGCAAAGACTTTCATTTAGTTTATTTGCGTGTCATTTTAGTAGGAAAAGGTGGATAGTGAAGTAACTATACGAGGAGCGAACTGTATACAAGCCAGGAACCAAACCAAGAGCTAAGAGCAAGGAGGAGGAGGACCCATGCGCCGTCATCATGCAGATTTTTCGGTCACCAGCTGCCCCGAGTCATGAGCGTCGCCTTAGGGGGTGACAGACACATCTTGTGACATGTAAACCAATCAATTCCTCAAGAGGGTATACAAAAACTTGGCACTGGATAAAGGAAAAATGGTCTTCTAACAGATACTAATCGACCGGCTGGCACCTAAACTACGGAAACTCTAAAATTAAGGGATAAATTATATGTCATCCCAGCCATTCACTGAAAACACACCGCTGGTCACATATAAGACCCAATACTTAACATACAGGTAAGAGTATTAGTCTGCCTCCAAGAGCTGACTATAATAGTGTCACAGATTAATAGATGATAATTAGCAACAACATTTTGAGTATTAATTTTTAATGAAATTTTTAAGGCTTTTCCTACAAACACGTGACATCACAGGTCAATACATGATCACTACTCAGTCCTTGAAGATTGAAATCGTAATATAAAGAGCCAATAGGATCGCCAGATATTCACTTGACAGTTTACTGGCTGGCGATGATATAGGCTCTGATAGGCTCTACTCTTCTGCCTTTATCTGATGCTTTGCCATCTAGTTCGACTGCAAAAGAAGCACCTAAAAGCTGACTTAACTACTGAAAAAGCCTCCTAACTTGGCTGAGGAGTGATCACATATGATAGAGACGAACTGCTAGCTTATACCCGTGATACAACTCCTGGTGACAGCTTAAGACAAGTTGAGGAAGAATGATTTAACTTCCAGAATATATATATATATATATATATATATAAATATATATATATATATATATATATATATATATATATATATATATATATATATATATATATATATATATATATATATATATATATATAATCTTATGCATATTATACTTTTAAAAACATTACAGTATATATAAAAATATTTTTTTCAGCTAACTATATTTACAATACGCTACAGCTCATCGCCTTCTACAGATCTGAAGATACAAAAACACATAGGCGGCTACACTCATTACGACTGTATCTGAAGCCAGTAAACTATGTATTCGATTAATGTTAAGTCTAAAGACTAAGGCAGCTCTACTTTTAGATGAGGTAAATCATCAAAACAGGTGAGTGGATATTAAGAGTCCTAAAGACTCAAAAAATCCATCCACAAGGAACTGAGGACTCAAGAGGGGGGTGGGGGTGTAAAGAGGACATTTTCTGTGCCGCGGGCTGGAGTTGTACCACTGGACCCAGAGTGGGGTCCAGTACCGGGACACCACCATTACTTAAGTTACCATACCTAATTTACCCTCAGATGCTCACACTTCTTCTTGAGCTTCCACTCGCAACACTGCATGAACTTCTTGCTGTAACAACATGTTAATTATGGTTCATTAGCAGGTGTAGTGTGTGAGGAGCCAGATACTGTACAGGTGTAACTTTTTTAGGGGAGTCAGTCATTAAGTACGTGCGAGGGTGCAGATGTTTGTGTCACTAAAGGGGTGTGCGACTGCAGGCGAACGTCTCCGTCCAAAAAAAAAAGTACAAAGACAGATGAACGTTTGCATCCAGAGTGCGACCACAAAACTAGTGTTTGCGGTTAAACTGTGACGGCAGACGAACGTTTGCGTGCGACGACAGACGTTCGAACGTTTGGCGTGCGACCTATAGGATTGTTCGTTCTCAGGCACGAATTAGAAGCTTCAAGAAGTGTGATCAAAACATCCGGGGATATAATAATATAATGTACATTATAAGAGACAAGTCAATATAATAAAAAATCGAAAGTGCAAAACAGCGTCGTCTGTGTGTCTCAACGCTGGTCTACAAGAGGCAAAACACAAATAAACGTAACAAAAACAAAACTCAAAAACGTAAAATATGTGAGCAGACTCTACAGTACGTCACTCAATGCATTAAGACAGCTGCCTGCCATTGACAACATTTATATTGACACAAACACTGTTTCAGCAACTAGAGCAAAACGAGGCAAGGAGGAAAAGGAGGGGAGGAAGAGGGAGAGGTAGGGGAGGGAGAGGAAGAGAGGGGAGAGGTAGGGAGGAGAGGATTAAAAAGAGTGGTTAAAGAAAGTTAATAAAATAATAAAATATATATATATATATATATATATATATAAAATATATATATATATATATATATATATATATATATATATATATATATAAATAAATATATTTCTGATATAGATAAAAGTAAGATGATAATAGACTGATACATATATGAGAACAATATAAGACAGAGACAATGCCAGAAAAATGGAGAGAGAGAAGAGACAGCAATTTGTCAGTATATAGCCAATACACAATTATATTAAATTTCAGCCATGAATATTCTCAGCTGATTATATATATATATATATATATATATATATATATATAAGAAAATTTTAAAAACTTGTTTCATGATCACATCCATTGTTTTTTTGGCCATGCAGACACTTACCTGACCGCTAGTGACTGATCTACTAGCTACTGAACGGGTATCTAGCGAAGAGAAGGGGGAAGGTGGAAATTAGTTAGTATGAATAAACGACCAGAAAATAAAAACGAAAATAAAAGGTATTCCGACACTATCATTCCGGTCCAGCCCGGAGTCCAAGCTGCAAGGACCCGATGAGTTGTATTTATTTGAAGGAGAGGGGTGAAGGGGGGTGGGGGGTACCAAAATGGGGAGACAGAGGAAGGGGATGGGATGGGAGGTATGAATAGGGGGAGGGAGAGGTCAAGGGTGAGCATTGGGAGAAGGGTGTGGAAGGGAAGGTGGGAGGAGGCGTGGGAGAGGAGCTAAGAGGTCGGTGACTGTATTTACCAGGAAGACGGGTTGGGATGGGATAGGATGGAAGGAAGGGGGGGAGGTGGTAAGAGAAGGATAGGCACTGGGTGCGAGGAGATGGGAGGGAGTGGAAGGGGGATGTAAGAGGATACAAAAGGCGGTGACGGAGACGGATAGCAGTAGTAGTAGTAGATGGAAAAGGGGCTGGAAGAGGGAGGAATAAACATTGGGAAGGAGAGGAGGGGGAGAGGAGAGAGAAGAGGAAAGACATGGAAAAGGATTCGTAAAGAGTAACTAAGAGAATCAATGAGACAAGGATTAGATGTAAGATAGGATAGAATGGATGAGGGATGAGATGGGAAAGGAGGAGGAGGAGGAAGGAAGAGGAATGGACACAGGTTACGGAAGGGAAGGTAGCATGGAGAACAGTAGGAAGAAGAGAGATGGGCAACAGGAAAAGATAAGGGGTTGAAAAATGTGGAAAGGAAATATGAAAGAGTTAGAAGTAGAAGGGAAATGGGAGGGAGGGAGTGGAGGGAGGGTGAAAGAGAGAGTAAAAAGAGGAAAGGAATGGGGATAAAGAAGATGGAATAGAAATAGAAGTGGGATGAATAATAAGTTAAAAAAGTTGAGAGAAAAGGGAAGAGAGAGGGTTAAGAGGGGAATGGAAAAGGGATGGAACAGGAATGGAAGAAAAAAGAAATAAAGGTAGAAAGGAGATAAAGAAGGAGAGGATAGGGGTAATAAAGAAAATGAAATGGAAGGGGAATGGGATAGATAAGAAAAGGAGGAGGTACAGGAACTAGATAATGACGACAATAGAAGAGAGGGAAAATAAAAACGGAAAACAAAGAAAAGTGAAAGGCATGTTAGAGGAAGGAAGGAAGGAAGGAAGGAAGGAAGGAAAGCAATAAAGAGAGAAAGAAAGAAGGAAGGAAGAAGGGAAGGTAGGAAAGAAAGAAGGAATGAAAGAAGGAAGGAAGGAAGGAAGAAAGGAATGAAGAAAGTGATATAAAGGGGGGAGAAAGAGGATTAGGAAGAATGAAAGACGAAAGGAGACGGGATAAAAGAGACTGAAAAAAGAGGGAAAGGAAGAGGTGGAGGAAGAATAAGAAAGAAAAGAGTTTGGAGAGAGAGAGAGAGAGAGAGAGAGAGAGAGAGAGAGAGAGAGAGAGAGAGAGAGAAATGAACTAGGCGATATCAGCTATTGAGGAAACGAGAAAATCACAATAAAAACAATAAATAGAAGCGACGAACAACTCGACGAAAAGAGGAAGAGACAAGAAATTCGAATAACAAGAAGAAGAAGAAGAAGAAGAAGAAGAAGAAGAAGAAGAAGGAAGAGGAGACGAAGAAAAAGAAGAAGTAGGGTGATGAATGCATTAGGCAAACGATGACAGCTGACTCATAAAGAAGACCAAGAAGAAGAATAAGAAGAAGATGATGAAGCAAATGAATAACAATAATAACAATAATCCAATGAAACAGGGGAATGAAGTTATAATAGAAAATGAGATAAAACAACAACAACAACAACAACAACATCAGCAACAACAACAACAACAGCTGATGACGCAGAAGATGAAACATAAGACAGAGATAATTTAAGAAAGCCAGACAACAACAACAGATGATAAATGGAAAAGAAAAAGCAAGATTGAACAAGAGATAAACAGATAAGGGAGAGAAACAATGAACAACGTTAAAGAACCAAAGATAAAAGATTAAAATAGCATGTAGAAGAATATCAACTAAAAGATAAACCAAAAAATATAATTGAATCGAGACGAAACGAGAGAGTTGCTATCGATGAAAAATTTATCGAATAAGAAATGTTT